TGAGGTATCAATAGTCTCAACATTATAAAATAAGGAAATACTATTCATTTATACACATAATTCTCTATATAAGGAAACTGTGAAATACAAGACTGTATGTTTTTTTTCTATAAATTAGGTACATTCTATTAATTACATAATGAGCTTTAAAATGGACGAAAAGGTCAGTATAAAACAAGCAATAAAATTATTTTTGAATATTTGAAAAACAACATCATGTGATTAAGTACATACCCACCTAAACATCAAGAAGACAATATAATCCATGCCATGAGACTATAGTTCCTTGCAAAACAATATTATCTGACTTAATACGTACCCACTTAATTAAACCATGAAACAAGTACCATCGATACATGTTATTAAGAATGTATCTAAAACCATACAATCAACGTCCGATCAAGACAGTCACAACTCATTAACTACATATGTACATAAATCATAATTCAATGAGCAGTCTGTACATGATTGTTACATCTAGTTGAGTTGAAATGAATTTAAACTGTGCAATGAAAGTCCACTGTAAGTTCCTACAAGAAAGAATCAGTCCATGAAATACATATTCACCTGTAACCCTCCAGGACAAATACATCCCATTAACTACATAGCCACTTAAGACATACAATTACAATCCAACCTATACTCCTGGGAAGACAGTCACTTTCCACCAAACAATTTTTTGGAAATTCAACGTGTAAATCCTGTAATATACTCAGTAACCTTGCAGGAAACACAGTCGAACCTGAAATTTCACCAAGATAGTTACATTACATTGTATCAAATACTAAGTTTATTTATTACATTACATTTTAATGACTCATTGGAACATGGAAACAAAAACAGTTCAACCTGAAGGTTCAGCAAAGCAGTTACATTACATTGTATCAAATATACGGAATACTAAGTTTATTTATTACATTACATTGTAATGACTCATTGGAACATGGAAACAAAAACAGTCCAACCTGAAGGTTCAGCAAAGCAGTTACATTACATTTTTAAAACTCACAATGGAACCTTACAACAAGGACAGTTCAACCTGAAGATTTAGCAAGGTGGCTATATTACATCCTAAATACTTATTGGAATATTGAAGCAAAGACAGTCCATCCTGATGTTTCAGCAGGAAAGAGATGCCCTATTCTAAATACTCACAGGAACCACGCAAAGAAGATGCTTCAACCACAAGTTTCATCATACTGGTTTTTCCGTATTCTAAATATTCACAAAAATCTAGCAGCAGACACAGTCCGAGGTGAAATTTCAGCATGATACATACGTACCAGTTCTAAATGTTTAATGCAATCCTGCAGAAAAAAATAGTAGAACTCTCTTCCTACAGGATGGATCTAATCACTTATTCTAATTAAGTATTTATATCCCCTTTTATTTATCATAGTAATCTTGCAGCAACGACAGACCAAACTGAAATTTCATCATGGTTGTTCTCACCTATCCTAGGCACTCACTGGAATCAGATAGTAAAGACAGTCAAACCAGAAATTTTAGCAGATTAGTATGTAATATTCCATTTTATACAATCACAACAAAGTTGCAGCCAAGACGGTTCGCAATGAAAATTCACCAAGGTAGTTATGTCCCTCTTTATACACTTACTGGAATCTTATTAGTTAAGAGTATCCGTTTACTGCATATTGTACTTTGGTTTAGTTGTGTATTTACTTATTTAAATGTATCCGTTTTGCTTGAACTATTCATTTATAGGGTTTTATTTGCATAGTATAGGTGAGTACATAGTTAATGGAATGTAACGATCTTCCAGAAGTAGTTGTAATCTTCCAGTTGTAATTAAAATCCAAACTTTAGGCGAGTACTTATATTATCTTGCTTGTATTGCGTTGCATATTGCACGGGCCATTCTTCCGACTTACATATCATGATTTTTATTATTTGTAGTTAATGGAATGCAGACTACATCAGCGACTGTACATCGTTTTATAAGGATGAGAGGAGAACAAATAAGACACATAGGACATAGAGCTGTACATAACATATTACAATCTGAATAATGACTCTGATTTAAGTAGAATAGTTTAACTTGATAGCTTAAAATAAAACACAGTGATAATATATCACGTTAACTGCAAATTTTTCCGAAAATCCTCTTCATTTCTCCATTTCAGATTCAAAATCAAATCTATCTTTTGTCTCCCACAAGTCACTCTCGAAGAGGCCTTTCGTCCAATGCCAGAACTCATCAGTTGGGTTGGACCGTGAGAGACAAAAGATTCTCTGAAACGGTATTTATAAATGCAGTATAATACTTTAAAAGTTATTCTAAGCCTAATTGTTTCTAATGCTTCGCCAACTTTCTCCTATTTACACCATAACGTTTAAAATAAAATTTGCTCACCAAGTGTATTTCGGTTGGACCCATCGTTTTTAGGCTTATAACTTTCCTATAACAACTATTACCCTTTAGATTGCTCAAAAACGAATTATTGTTTTAAACAATTTACATTTTGTATAGTTTATAAAATAAAATAGTTAATTCTCGGAGTAACTTTTCATAATGTTGAAATAAATCCGCATTGTTATTATATAACATCTGATGACCCATTTTATAAGTATCAGAACATTGCATGGTTTGGCTTGTTTTGTATATTCGCAACAGATTACGCAAAGACAACCTGAACTACCCGTCTCTACTTTTGAACTGATAGATGACAAAGAAAGCAGCTAGCCAAAAGTGTTTACTAGCATCTCTTGGGCTCCTCTTATAATTCACACGCGGCCTCAAAATGCGGAGCGTGATTTATTTATTTTTTCAACAACGAGATGCGAGCCGTGGACCCTTCATAACTGGGAGGTAAATTAACGAATGTACTCGCAAATTTGGAGTTACACATGTTAAACTAACTACATTCGACGAAAGTTGAGCAGTCTGATGTACAAAAATTACAAATGAAAATAAAAAAATCCAAAGGACTTTCAATAACCAGGCATTTCAAACATAACAATTTTTAATGTCCATTTCCTATGATATTTGAACTTTAGCTGTTTAATTTGATATCTCACGCATTCATTTTTATCAAGTTACCTATTGTAATTCACATGTTACATTAGATTTCATTTACTTCATTTTTAAATCAATTTCAATCATATCGTATCTCATTGACTCTTTTCAACCAATGTGAGGTAATGTTATTCGAGCCAAGTAGCTTTATCATTTATCTTAGAGATTTCTTCCCCATTTAATCCATCTTATCACAACTCAGTGATCTGTTCTTTTAAACAATATTGTTACAACAACGGAAGTCACGTGACTCTGGTAGCACGTGATGAATTTTTCGAATAATCATGAATGATTGGGGAGGCCCAAGTTTATTCCAGACGCCCCCTTCGTTGGTATATAAGCCTGTTTTTTAGTGTGTATTTTAAAAGTTGTTAAGTTTAAAGTGACGAGAAACGTACTGACTGTGGAAATTCTGTGTACTACAAAGTTTGTATCGAGA